CCAATCGAAAAAGTCTTTTTGCTTAGATTTTTAGAATATTGTATGTATACATTTTTTTTTGTATTTCATCACCTTATTTGCTACCTCATCCATGAAATTTTCTTTCCCTCTTGCATAATGTTGCTGATCACGCTTAAAATAACGATCTTTGCGTGTGATTCTTGGAGAGAAAGAACCTTATTTATTTAGGTTTTAAATTTTTATATGTGCTTGGCTAGTTTTGATAAGTCTATCATTAATGGCTAGAGGTTGGTAAGTTAGAACTTATTCGGGACATTTCTATAAGGTTCCCTTATTTTTGTTCCTTATTTCAAGGATTCGTATGTTATCAACTTTTTTCGCCCGAAATTCAATTTTCATCTCTTTATCCGTGTTTTTCAAGTATTTTTAGGGTTTTCAGATTGTAACGACCCAACCGGTTGTTTTGAGTAATTGCATTCCATTCAGCTGTTTGAAGCCTTGAGTAGTTTCATATGATGTATTATGACTTGTGTGAATCGTCGGTTTTGATTTTCAGGTGATCCGGAGTTGGTTTGGAAGAATAATTCTCAACTAGAAAGCTTTAAGTAAGAAGAGTTGACCAAGTTTGACTTTTGTGTATTTTACCCCGGATCAGAGTTTTGATGGTTTCTTCAGCTCTGGATGGTGATTTTGGACTTGGGCGTATGCCTGAATTTGGATGTTTCTTGAAGGTTCTAGCGTTAACTGGCGAAAGTTGGCAATTTGGAGTTTTGGAATGTCCATAAGTTTGACCGGAAGTTGACTTTGGTGATATCGGGTTTGGATTTTGGTTCCGGGAGTTGGAATAGCTTCGTTATGTCATTTGAAACTTGTGTGCAAAATTTGAGGTCATTCCGAGTTGATTTGATATGGTTCAGCACGAGTTTTTGAAGTTGCAAGTTCAAAAGTTCATTAAGTTTGATTTGAGGTACGATTCTTGGTTTTTATATTGTTTGATGTGATTTGAAGCTTCGAATAAGTTCATCTCGTGTTTTAAGACTTGTTGGTATGATTGAAATGGGTCCCGATGGGCTCGGGTGTGTTTTGGATTATTGGTTGAGAAACTAGTTAAGTTAAGGATTTGGAGTTTAACCATGGTCAATATCGGGTCAAGAGGACCTCTTTTCGGTGTTGAGTGCGCGAGCAGGTTCATAGAGTGTTTTATGAAACGCATATATGGTTTGTGACCGGAAGGTTGCGAATGAGTTTTGGGTGCTAAAATAAAAATTCTTTCATTGCTGATTTTTTGGTGTAAAATAATTACGAAAATATCATTTTCTCTTAAATTTTCAGACTTCATTTAAAACTTCAAAACATCATATCTCCCTCATTTTAAGGCTAAATGGGCGATTCAAAGGCTATCTTGAGTTTAATCTCGCAAGGATTATGTTGGGTTTATCAAATGTGAGTTTCGGGGTCATCTAGGATCTGGTTCGAGCCATAACAGCTAGTGCATTATTTTTCTTGTTTCGGAATTTAGTCACTTTTTCTCACATGGTTTTGGAGCTTAGGTTTTGGCAATTTTGGAGGCAATTTTTATCACATGTATTGGTATAGTTGTTTTCTACTCGATTTTGATTATATTTCATGAATCTATCTTCATTTTGGGATTTGATTTATGATTTCAAAAGAGAAATTGGAGGTTTTTGTCTAAACTTTTCTAAAGTTAAATTTTGAGTTATGAACATCGATTCAGAGTCGGGATTGAGTGAAATTAGTATGGTCGGACTCGTAATTGAATTGATTATTTGAATTTGAGAGTTTTGTCGGGTTCTGAGGTGCGGGCCTGGGTTTGACTTTTTGGTTGACTTTGAGTATGTGATTAAAGATTCGGCTTTTATCATTTGAGTTTGCTTCCTATAAACATTATTTGATGATTTTGAGTTGCTTTTGGCTAGTTTCGAGCCGTTCGGAGGTCGATTTGAGCGGGGTGACGCTTCTAGTTTATCGATTTGGCTTGATTGAGTTAAGTGTCTTGCCTAACTTTGTTGAGGGAATTTTTTCTACTAATTGCCATTATTTGCTACATGCAGGGGTGATACATATATGAGGTGACAAACATCTATGCATGTGCCAGGGTTCATGCTCGGGGTTAAATTATACTATAAATTGCGCCTTATAGGTGGCCTTCTTGCTTCATGTCTTACTTGACTTCTAGATTACTAAGAATATGGAATTCAATGTTAGAACCAAGATCTAGTTTATTATAACTTGATTAAAATTTGACGAAATTTTGAGAAACATTGATGTGTCTAGTTCGGTCATCCTTATGCTAAATCACTAATACATTGCGATGACAGTTATTCTTGAGATATTAGATTCTATACTTGAGTTGTAGATCAATTTTGAGATTTGTTGAAATACTTAAACAATAAGGTTCTTGAGGGTTTATTGAACTCTTGTTGGCTTGAAAGTTGTGTTTGAGGTTCATTTGGAATATTCGTTTAACCACTCTCCTTGATGTTATTTATGCTTCATACCTTGTTTGTCATTGATATACATATGCTTGGTGAGGAAGAGTGTAAAGCACGAAGGGTGATGCCGTGCCATTGTATATATATTATCATGTGAGGGAGAGTGTAAAGCACGGAGGGTGATGCCGTGCCATTTCATATGTTTTATCTTGTGAAAAAAAGTGTAAAGCACGAAGGGTGATTCTGTACCATTTCATTTGAGAGTAAAAGCATGAAGGGTGATGCCGTGCCATTGCATATCTGTTATCATGTGAGGGAGAGTGTAAAGCACGAAGGGTGATACCATGCCATTTCATTTATATTATCATATTTTTATATTATCATGAGTTCATGGCACGAAGGGTGTTCCCGTGCAGGCGAGGACGAGAGACATGCCTTATGTTGTGATATCTTTTCCTTGTGTGCACATTCATGCCTTTACCTGGAGTTATTACTGTTGCACCTATGTTATCTACGTGACTTGGCGTTGTTGTTCTGTCTTTGTCCTCTATCTCGATTGTTGTTGTGTTGTCCATGCCTTCTATCTGTTTAACTGCAAATATCATGCCTTCCTTCCTGCTACTATATCCATTTCCATATCGTATCTATTTTGTTGCACTTTAGTATAAGCCTTCTACCATGCATGTTATTCATTCATGCCTCTATTTGTTAGCTTATAAAGATCATGTTTTCCCTTCTTATTTTTTATATCTACATCTATGCTTTCTACTATGCTAGTTAGGTGAAATTATGTTCTTCTTTCCTAATTACTGTCATTACTCCTATGCCTCCAACCTAGTCCATTTCTGTCGTCCATATGTATTGCCTCGTTCATTATTGCTACTTCTGTATTTCCTACTTTGTCTTTACTGTTATCGGTATTTCTTCACCTGGTTGGTACTGTTATACTTATATTTGGTGAGGATGAGATAAATGCGCGAAGGGTGTTGCCGTGCCAATTGATTTGATGTCTTGAGTATGTTTCTCACACTATGAAAGTTATAGATTTATTACCGTGATTTGCTGGTTATCACTCTAAGGAAAGGATGGTCGTGATAGTGAGGAATATTAATCGTGGTTCTTCTAGAAATCATTTATTGCTTCGCATATTTGTTTCCTTGTACTCTATTCTGTTATGTTCTATTATTGTTCTACTGCACAAGTTATATTAGTAAGTATCTTTTAACTAAAAAGCCTCGTCACTACTTCACCGAGGTTAGTCAAGATACTTACTGAGTACATGGGGTCGGTTGTACTCATACACTTCTGCATCTTGCATGCAGATTTTGGAGCTAGAGTCGCTGTGTATGTCGGGAGCTGGCATTGAAGATGTACATGCGTTCCAATTATGGCTGCCACTTGTCCTTGGTACCTTTAGATTTTTGCTAATCTGTTTATGTAAACTTCAAGCAAATGACGTATTTATTCGTACCAGCTTCTGTAAATTCTATGTCTTAGAAGCTCATGATTTGTACTACCAGTCTTTGGGATTTGTATAGAAAGTTCAATTATTTTATCCATTAATCTCTTATTACTTATTTTGAGTTGTGTTGATTGTATTTGGCTTACCTAGCGGGCCAGGTTAGGTGCCATCACGACTAAGTGGATTTTAGGTCGTGACACCGATCGAATTGAAATGTTCTTTTCGAGGTTGAATTAAATTGTTAGATGAAGATTTTCTGAAAAGCTTCACTTTTGGTAAGTGTTTACAGGATAAATTTTAAAAAAAGAGTATATTAGAAAGGACAAATTAGTCAAGTTATCATATTTATATTAACAATAATAGACAAAAAGAATTGTTACAAAGAAAAATAAAAAATGAGGTAAGCATAATATCATAAATCACGAAGGAAGTTAGTGTAATGGAACAAAACATGAGGGGGATTTCTAAAACTATCCAACAATTTTACCCTTGTCATTTAATTTTTCATTAACACTAGGTCTTCGACAGGGTACACGACCATTTTATTAAAGAAAATAATATTTGAAACAAACGAAGTTTCACAATCCAAACTTTACTTTGAAGTGGAAAATTGCATACATCTATAGACGAGCATATTCTAATAATTGTACTATATTTTTTCCAAATGTGTACCATCGATCGGAGGATTGGCTACCTTAGTCGAGGGGTTATTTTTCTGTCTTATTGATGTTTTTTATTATTTTAAAAACAATACATTACTTTGTTACCTTTTATAAGATCATCGCATTTGCACCTTAATCTGATTCGAACATCAATTTAATGGCGAAAAAACCAATTTTCTACAGTTTAGATGACAAAATCACAGACTTCGAGTGGCAAATTAAAGTGATATAGGCAAAAAAACATAGATTGAAAAAGACATAATTCAGCTATAGAACTAACTTAAATTTAACACAAATTATATATGTGTGTATATATATATATATTTGGAATTTATCTACATTTTTCTGATAAAAACTCATTTATATCTCATTTATATAGTTAACAAAAGAGAGAAAAAGAAAAGGAGAAACTAAACTTGAAAATTCTTCAGCTCGATCTCTTATCCACCAAATTTTAAAAATTTATGGAGCAAGAGGTGGAATACTTTGCTCATTCCTGAAGTAATTTCCTGGATCAACACTATATTTCACCCGAGCCAATTTCTCAAAATTACTTCCGAAATACATTTCACCCCAACTTTTTGCTTCTGAGTATTTCTCATTCCCATTTAATGTTTTTCCCAAATCCAAATCTCTGCTATTTAGATATGCTGTTCTTGGCTTTGAAACAAACTCTCCCATGTAATCATAAATCCCTTTGATCCAATCCAATTTTATCTGTTCTACAGTTTGGTTTGGTTTAAGCCACATTGCAAAATATTGTATGTTATATAAATAACCCTTTCTATGTGGAAATGGAGTTGCATCCTCTAATATTTCACTCACTTTTCCACCATGAGGGGTGAATATCATTAGTCCAAATCCTGAATTGAACACATTCCATAACCCTTCTAATGCTTTTTTAGATAGAGGCTTTGTTACATAGTCTGACTTGACTTTGTAAAATGTTGGTCTCTTGTCTTTCCTTTCTAACAAATCTTGAATTGTTGATCCATTTCTGTAATGATCTATCCTTATTGTTGTATCAATCCAGCTCATTTCTTCACAATCCCTCGACTTTAATTTCAATTCAGGGAACTTCCTTCTCATTAATCTTCGAAGTTGGCGTCTTGTCCCTAAATATAACGAGTTAAATGTAGCCTCTATCGATGGTTGCCCTAAAGAATTCTTTTTAGGGTTTATATTTATTCTTAGGAAAAGCTCTTTAGGGAATTCATTTACTAGCTTTTGCCATTTCCTAACAAGCTTTGTAGCACCTTTTTCTTGAGTTCGAGCTATGTTGAAGAAAGTAACAACTGGGGGAACTTCGACTAATTGTAACTTCCACGATAGAACCACCCCGAAACTAGCTGCACCACCACCTCGAATGGCCCAAAATAGGTCTTCGCCCATGCCAGTACGATCAAGAATCGTACCATTAACGTTGAGGATCGTTGCATCTAGCACGTTATCCGCTGCAAGGCCGTATTTCCTCATCAATGGACCTTGTCCACCACCACTAATATGACCTCCAACACCTACAGAAGGGCAAGTTCCAGCTGGGAAAGCTAGGGTTTTGCTTTTGTTCGCAATGTTGTAGTAAAGTTCCCCTAGTGTCGCCCCAGCTTCCACCCAAGCAGTCTTTCCTTGCACGTCGATATCGATGCTTTTAAGGTTCGATAGGTCAACTAAGCAATAGGGTTTGTAAGAAATGTAAGAAAGACCTTCATAATCATGTCCACCACTTCTAACCCTAGTTTCAAATCCAGAATTTTTGCAACAAATCATGGCTGCTCGTACTTGTTCTTTAATTTCTGGGACGATTATGAAGTAAGGTTTCGGGACATTGGGATTGTTGAACCTAGCATTATGTATCGAAGATTCGAGTATAAATTGGTAATTTTTTGACCATATAGTATGAACAATGTTGTAAATGCGTGGTTGATTTCCAGATTCAAGGGAGAGGCAGCTATAGAAATTGGCATTGGCATCATCAAGTTTACGATGATGTATAGAGCTGACTAAGAAAGGAAGAAAAAATAGGGTAAAAAATATTGAACCTAGAGTAACCATTTCTGGTCACTTTAATTTGTTACGTTTGATGATTCACGAAATAGAAATTTGTTCCTCGTTTCCTATTTAAATACTAGAAATTTCTTTGTTCAGATTATGTAACTGATAATTAAGTTGTCTTAGGAAAAAATTATTACTTTCATTGAACCTAATACGACTACCATTAATAACCTTCTTAATTAAAACAAAAAATTAATGCTGGTCTTTGTTAATTTGCTTATTTGTTGGTTTTGTTTTGGGTAATAAAAAGAATCTTCAATTCCGTTTTACTTCGATGTGTTGTGTGCATGAATCAATCAACTATTAGCTTGTTAAAGGACGACATAGCAATCGATGTACCATTGACGTTATATCATGTATTTTTATATTTATTCTTTTTTACTATTGAACAAATAGATTCATTGAAAACTCTCTCTTTTTGGGTTTATTAGCTGGAAGAGCAACTAGAACTTTAATTTTCATATCAATAAAATATGTAACTTATGTTTATTGATAGTGTTAAGAATTTTTAGTGTTATTTAACATATCATAGCCTATTTTACGATTTGATAGTATACAAATATTTTTAAACTATCAGTATATAAAAATTAAACTCATTAATAAAATGCGTTAGATATTAAGATTGCAGCCGAGAGAAAAAAGGTATAATAGGATAATATTCTTATTGATTCTTTGTAACGACCCGGCCGGTCGTTTTGAGAATTAAAGTCCCGTTCGGCGGCATAAGGTCTTAAACAACTTCGTATTATGTGCTATGACTTGCATGTGTGGTCGAGTTCAGTTACCGGATGATTCGGAGTCAATTTGGAAGAAGGATTCTAGTTTTGGAAGTTTAAGCGGTAAGAGTTGACTGGAATTTGACTTTTGTGTAAACGGCTCTGGAATGGGGTTTTGATGATTTCAACAGCTCCTATGGTAATTTTGGACTTAGGCGTGCGTCCGGATTTAGATTCGAAGGTCCATAGGGTAATTTGAAGCATTTTGTCGAAAGTTGGAAAAGTTGAAGTTTTGGAGGGTTGAGAGGTTTGACCAAGAGTTGACTTGAGTAATATCGGGGTCAGAATGCGATTTCGAAAGTTGAAACAGCTCCATTATGTCATTTAGGACTTGCTTGCAAAATTTAACGTCATTCCTGGTTGATTTGATAGGTTTCAGCGAGTTTTAGAAGTTGGAAGATTTGAAAGTTCATGAGTTCGATTCATGGTGTGATTCGTAGTTTCGACGTTCTTTGATGTGGTTTGAGACCTCGAGCGATTCCGTGTTAGGTTATGGAACTTGTTGGTGTGTTTAGACGGGATCGCGGGGGCCTCGGGTGTGTTTCGGATGGGCTACGGGCCGTTTCCTTCCATTTTTGGATTGCTGTTCTGCTGGTTCCTGATTTCCTTAATCGCGATCGCGTAGCATTAATTTGGGAGGTATTCATTTCCTCTTCACGATCTCAATTGAAATTCCACGATAGCGGTGCATTAATCACTTGGCAGAATATAAAAGTACTCTATTCCGAGGGTTAACCATTTTTAACATTTTTGGAGTTCTAGAGCTTGGTTTTGAGCGATTCTTTGTGGGGTTTTCAAGCAAATAAAATTGGGTAAGTGTTCTTCACCTAGAATTTATTATATTCCATGATTCTATCTTTATTTTTATCATTTAATTAGTGTTTTGAGTTGAGGAAAAATGGGGGATTAAGAAAACTTTCAAAATGTAAAATGGTGATTTGAGGGACGAATTAGTATCGGAATTTGATAATTTTAGTATGGTTGAACTCGTATCGGAATGGGTGTTCGGGTTTTGTGAAATTTGTCGGGTTCTGAGGTGCAGCCCGGGGGTCGACTTTTGGGGTTGATTTTTAGCTTTTGATAAAAATTGAAGCTTTATTATCCGGAATGGTTTCTTATGAGTTTTATTTATGCTTTGAAGTTATTTTGGTTAGATTTGAGCCGTCCGCAGGTCATTTCACTCGAGTAGTTCATTTTAGAGTGTCGGTCTATCTTCTTTGAGATAAATATCTTGCCTAACTTCGTGTGGGGGAAACTACGTGTTAGATCTAATTTTAATAATACCAATAATATATTTGTGCAGGGAAATCAATCAGAAGAGATCAAGGAATCAAGGAGCTACTACGAGATTGTTGAAGCCAATCTGAATGCTTAAGGAAAGATATCAATCGGCAAAGATTGTGGATAGCTGCGATGGAAAGAATCTTTGAAAGCCTAAAACTAAGGCGTCAATCAAGGCCAATATATTCAAGGAGCAAATCAAGGAGAGTAGCTGATCTGCCAATTTTGGAAAGACCAACAATCAAGGAGCAAATCCTCATCTTCAACGGCTGTAGAAGGAAGGTGATCAATCTCCTCTCATCAAGGAAGAGCAACGGCTAGCAATCTTATTCTTGGAAAGAATCAATCTCTTTCCAAGGATCAAATCCCTTGGGTTGTCAAATATCGCCTGCTCAAAGTCTTCACCAAAGTATTTATACTTAGTTTTCAACCTTAGAAAAAATATACTTTGATCAAACCAAAATTCTCTCTTTATTCTACTGCAAACAAACATTGTAGTTCTTTGAGACCTGCTGTGTAACAAGTCAGAGAAAAAGGAGAGTATAACACTAGTGAGGCATTGTATCAAAAGAAGACGAGTGTTATAGGAACTGAGCTATCACATCATTTCCATTGTACTCGAAGAAACGCATTTACTAAAGAGAACTCCCGTGCAACCCAAGGGGACTGGACTAGGATTCACATTGAATCCGAACCAGTATAAAATTCCGGTGTCTTTGATTCCTGCACTTACTTTCTGTGTTTTATATTCTGCTACTATAACTGTTAGGTAATTGCATCAAGTCGACTAATTGGTAAATCAGTCAACTAATAGAGTTTAAGTTTAAAAAAGAAATATATACAATTCACTCCCCTCTTGTACTTTCACTACGTACCCCTTAGAATTTGAGTCTTCTATGCTAATTGTATCATGTAAAGTCCGTGTACACGAGGTGACGAGTACGTGCTCGGGCTTATTTGTGGAAAGTTGACCTTCTAGGGATCTTAGGTTCTTATGTTCATTAGATATGAAGTTGTTTTGTTATGTTAAGTTCCCTATTTACTAGTTTCACCTCTACATGTTTTTTTAAATTGAAATTAGTTGCTTCATGTTCCACCTTTATTGCCTATTTTACTCTCATGTGCCTTAAGTGAAGTTGTTGCCTCTTTAATTACCATGCTATCTTATCCGTTGTTTATCCTTAATTGAGTTACCGTTTCCGTAATTTGCTCAAACATAAAAGAAGTTAGTTATCCTTTATCATAGTTGCCTTATCCTTATTTGGAATTCATGACTCATGTCGTCTCCCTTGTTGTCGAATTGTACTTGTGAAGTTACTGTTACATATAAATTCTCCCTTGTTGAGCTACTCTTATTGTGACTGGTATTATCTATTGTGTTTATTCTTTGTGAGTTCGTTCTACCATTTCTTTGTGTTCTAAAGCTTTTGAGTTGATTTACTTGTCTTATTCTCGTGTATTGTTGTGGTTGTTGCTGTGGTACTCAGTTTGTTGAGCCGAGGGCTATGCGCGGTTGTGGTATTGAGATTGTTTAGTGAAAATAATATGGAATATGGGTACATGTTGTGAAGGCCATTCTATTGCGTTGTTGTGTTGTTGGCACGTGATGTTGTTGGGATATTTTGTTCGGGTGTTTGCACGAGGTTTTCGCCGTGCTATTTGTTACTGTTGATTATGCACATGCGGCGTGACAAGGCGGGCTATATCTGTGTGTTTGCACATGTGGCGAGACAAGGTGCGAATATTACTATGCACGTGTGGTGAGACAAGGCGGGCATTTACTTTATTATTGCACACGTGGCGAGACAAGCTGGGCTATGTCGGGATTATTCGTGATGACTTGTGATGGCCTGGGGACATTGTTGTTGTTGATATTTGTGTAGTGGCGTGCTTACCCTGGGGACATTGGGATTGTTGAACCTAGAATAAATAGGGTAAAAAATATTGAACCAAGAGTAACCATTTCTGGTCACTTTAATTTCTTCCGTTTGATGATTCACGAAATAGAAATTTGTTCCTCGTTTCTTATTTAAATACGAGAAATTTGTTTGTTCAGATTGTGTAACTGATAATTAAGTTGCCTAAGGAAATAGTTAATGTCACGACCCAATTCTATTATAGGTCGTGATGGCGCCCAACACCGTTGCTAGGCAAACCAACAGTGAACGATCTTGTGATTTTCCCCTTCTAATAAGTTTTTCAAGCAAACAACTTTCCTTAATTTTAATTAATAAATAACAGATTTAAAATAATTAAAACGAAAGCAACTGAGTGCAATAATAACCATAGAAATAAAAACAAAACCACAAGTCTACTAGTGTGTGCCAAGACCTGGTGTCACAAGTGTATGAGCATTCTAGTAGAATATACAAAAGAATACTAGTCTACTGTCTGAAGTGAAATAGCTAGAAAATATAAGCAAAAGAAAGATTCCAACTGCTGCAGAACGGCTCGGAAGGCAGCTCACCGTGAAGTCTCAAAGTGGTAATCAAGTGTGCGCGCCAGACTGATATTGAGAAGCAACTGCCTCATATCCTTCACATTTAAGTGAAGAAGTGTAGCGTGAGTACATAAACATGTACCCAGTAAGTATCTAATCTAACCTCGAAGAAGTAGTGACGAAGGGTCGACTTCGACACTTACTATGGGTCAACAATATAATAATATGAAATTCTAATTAAACATGATATATATAAATACCAATAGAACTCAAAGTATGAAATAAATAAACAATCATTTCACCGTTAGTAAGAACCGAATCATTTCCCTCATTTAAACATGTAATTTGTCAGCAAATGAATTAATATCAAATATAAAGGGGACTTCCAGTATTATTACGCACGAATTATGCCGAGGACATACATGCCCGATCCAAATATACATATACATATACTGTGTGCACTGCTGAGGGTCGAACGGCACGAACCATAGATGCATCTATTA